GTTAAACTCTTCCAGTATTCCATTGATTTTCTTCCATCCAAGTCCCTGTCTACCTTCAGGAAAGCAGACTAGTTGCCTCCTTCCTTTCCCGAAATATTCAGAAAGAGCYAAGTAACCMCCTTTACTGTTTCTTCTGCATTCTACAACATACCTCTTCCCTTCTTGAGTTCTCCATTCCTTCCAGTTTCTTTGTTTACCTTTGAGGCATGCTTCATTCACATACTCCCTGAACCATTTAATCACTTCCATACCTTGMAACAGCACTGTGGCCTTCTTCCCTTCCCTAATCTTCAAGCTTGCCCGTCCTTTGTTTTTCAGTTCTTCAAGCAGAAACTCCTTGGCTTCAAACTTCAGCATTCTCCTCCATCGTCCTGCAGTCACAAACCCATCCATAGTGCCTCCTTGTCAGTTTCAGGGCTTTCCAACAGAAGAAAATGGATCAGGCTTCATAGATTTCTTATAAATTAATATTATTAATTTGATTTGTAACTTTTTATTTCTTGTAAAAAAAAGTCTACTTAGTCATTATGTTTGTACTAGATCTCAGATTGGTAGAACCTTGCAATCTGTTAAATGATTCCTGGATGTGTTTGATGTTGGAGATAATACATGTATTTTTTTTTTCTTTCTTTCTTTTGATTCCTTCTTCATTCTTTATTCTAATTTTCCTTTTCTGTATGTGGCATGTGTGTCTGCCCTTGGGGAGGGGACTTGTAAGGGACAATGAACCTACACATGATTAGGCAACTGATCAAAGTATTTGACTCTTGCCGGCAAAAGAATATTATATCAATGTCTACCTTTTAAGCTCTTTGTGTTCCATTTGACTTGCAGATATACTTCAAGAAGAAAAAGACGGGGGGCATTTCTTTCAACAGCACAGTTCTTCTGACTCATGTGGATGAGAAGCTTTGCTATCAAATTCTACATGAGTACAAGATACATAATGCAGAGGTACCTTTTACTTACAACCCTGTTATATCTGTTTGTGCAGATATTCAGAGAAATGACTTGCAGGAAAATGTTAACCAAATGAAGTAGAAGAAACATAAGGTGGACTAATTGCTTCTTTGGTTTGACCATTACAAAATGAAGTGGAATAGAAGCATATTGATAGGAAAATCATTAAAAAGAAAATAGGTATTATTATGGATTAATTATTTTGTTTGCTTTATTCCTTTTCTCTTTTTTCCCCAACACTGTTAAAGAGAATAGTGGATAGAGAATTGATAGGAAAATCATTAAAAAGAAACGAGGTATTTATATGGATTAATTATTTTGTTTGCCTTATTCCTTTTCTCTTTTTTCTCCAACACTGTTAAAGAGAATAGAGGATAGAAAAAAACTTGTGATATCATTTAAAGAAAATGCAGAAAACTGTATGAAAGGAGGTGAATTATACATGTATAGCACTTAGATATGCCTATGGTTCCTCATGGTTTTTGCCTCTAACAATGGATTGATGACATATAGCCATACAGGGTATTTAATGTTTTGATATCTAGTGCAATCTTTACCAAAAATTTTGTGCTAGAAAACTCCAGTCATATACCCCTTCTAAAACCATTCTTAGCTGAAGTACTGGGAACACCAATTATCTAACCAACCTATGGCATGGCCACATGGGATAAGAAAACACCATTCTTAGCCAAGTACTGGGAACATTGACTGGCTAACCTATTGACATGGGGTAAGCAAAGAAATGTGGGGATTTGCAATGTTGCATGAATCTAAAGAAATTCAAACAAAAAAAAAAAAGAAAAAGAAGGGAAAATCAAGTGAAATAGGAGTCCTTGTTATGGTGTTTCACAAAGCCTTGTTCCAATTATGTAGTTTTGAATTTATCATCTCTTTAATAGTCCTTTTCAAAACTTTTGACAAGAGATCTCCATGCAGTCTTGCATGGCAATTTAGTTGGCCAACCTTTTTGTGTGAACAGTGGTGCAAGGCAAGGTAAAAATAATTAATATAAATGAAAAAGAGTTAGCAGATAGAATCCTGCAGGGACGCTTTGATCCTATTATAGCTAAGATGGCAATATTCTGAACTTTTACATGAGATTATTTGCATCTAATTCTTCTATGATTTTCTTTCGCATGCTATTTCTAACCCTAATATCTTAATATGCTTTATCAGTATGATATCATGTGATATTTTACTGCATACCTCAAAGAATAAGTTATGTTCCATGCTGAATAATTTTCTTCTAGGTATTATTCCGTGAGGATGCAACTGTTGATGATCTCATAGATGTCATTGAGGGGAATCGTAAATACATGAAGTGTATATATGTCTACAACAAGATAGATGTTATTGGTGTTGATGACGTGGACAAACTAGCACGGCAGCCAAATTCTGTTGTCATTAGCTGCAATTTGAAGGCAAGTTCTGCATTTCTACTTTCTTTTTCCTATGAATGAGAAACTGATGAATCAAATGTTGGTTTCAATGTGGAACCTTTTTGATGGCTGAGTTGATTATAGGGGTGCAACTTGGGCAGGCTTAGGTACCCAACTTGCGCCCCTAGTTGATTATGACAGGTCCTAGTTGACTCCATTATATAATTTTTTTTCAGTTACCAGACAAGTTGGTTATGCAAATGGTGTGTTAGGGTTTGTCCCTATACATATATGAATTGTATCTTCTCCCGATTCAAAAGAACTATTTTGACTCTGGAAGTGCCTATTGGAGTCCAGAACAGTTTTAAGAGAACCTGTGATCCATATAGAATTTCCACTTTAAGTGCATTACTTCTTAAGCGTAGAGATGCAGCAGTTTCTAGCTAATATTTATTGTATTTGTTTATTTCTTATCTCTTTTCATTTGCTGTTTATACTGTTTTATACTGGTACACAGGTGGCATGGTATTATGGTCATTGTACATATATTAAAGAATCATAGTATAAGAACTAATAGTGTGGGGCAGCAGCCTTTTTCCGTTTTTCCTGCTCCCCTTTTCTTTCTTTCTGTTTCCTGTTGTTTCTCTTATATTCTATTTCTTTTCTGTTTTCTTTGATTCCTTTTATCAGCAAAGGGATATTCTTCTGTTATGTCTTTGTCAAGTTGAAGCATTAACATGAATGTTTGTTCCGGTTACAGCTGAATTTGGACAGACTGCTTGCAAAGATGTGGGAGGAAATGGGGCTTGTAAGAATTTATACAAAGCCACAGGGGCAACAACCTGATTTCACAGATCCAGTGGTTCTCTCTGTGGTAAGTCGCACATTCTTCCATCTTTCCCTGTATATGCTACCTAGGGCACATATATTTATGCTTGGATTTTTTTCCTATTGACTTGGGTTATTGTGCTGCCTAATTTTAGGACAGAGGTGGCTGCACTGTAGAGGACTTCTGTAATCACATACACAGGAATCTGGTGAAGGATGTAAAGTACGTGCTGGTCTGGGGAACAAGTGCAAGGCACTACCCACAGCATTGTGGTCTTGCTCATGTTCTCCATGATGAGGATGTAGTCCAGATTGTGAAGAAAAAGGTACAGAAACTGGTTATTGTTAGTGGAGCTCCTGTTTTGTGTTTATTCTTTCAGTTCCATTGGGAGCAAATTGCTTCATCTTGACGTTGCAACCTTAGTCTACCCTAGTTTCTGCCACATGGGGAGATTGTATGGCTAATTCAAACCATCCATCGTATTGGGACCCTTTTGATTGGCTATGTGTTCTCCAGTCAACATCAGTCCTATACTCCATTTCTTGGATCTTTCCTGGGTGGCCTAACCTTGAAAGTATCTTTCTTGCTTTCTTCCTTCTTTTTTTAATTCAAGAAAACCACAAAGAATGGCTTAGTTCAGTGGCTTTTAGGCTGAATGGGAATGGAGGAAGGAACATGTGGTGCTCTTTTGATTGGCTATGTGTTCTCCAGTCAACATCAGTCCTATACTCCATTTCTTGGATCTTTCCTGGGTGGCCTATCCTCGAAAGTATCTTTCTTGCTTTCTTCCTTCTTTTTTTTTTTTTTTTTTTTTTTAAATTCAAGAAAACCACAAAGAAAGACTTAGTTAAGTGGCTTTTAGGCTGAATGGGAGTGGAGAAAGGAACATGTGGTGCTCTTTTGGTCTGTCATTTATGCTACAATGTGCAGGGCCGGTCTCTACTGGTCAACATGCTATTGATGCAGTAAAGTTATGCAGGATAGAGTGATACACATACAAGTCATATGGGGTAAAGAGGTTGACTGCATTGTGGTGTGAAAAACAGATCATAATAGTTATTCTATTTAGAACTTAAAGAAGCTGTTGGACTGGGAACATGTTTTGGTTAGAAGTTTCACAATTTGCCCTACCTAACCGTTTTTATGTGGCTTTTCATTTTTATGCACCCTATGGGAAATCAAGGGAAGCTAATATTTGCACAATATATTCTTCAGGAGAAGGAAGATGGGGGGAGAGGTCGGTTCAAGTCACATTCAACAGCCCCGGCCCGAATATCTGACAGAGAAAAGAAGGCCCCGTTGAAGACATGAGTACGTCAACAAGATGTGCAAATTGGGATTTTTTCTCCAGCATTTTGCTTGGCGTCAAAGAATGAGTGGTTAAGAGTATAATTTATTTGCAAGTCATGTTGCATTATGAAATTATTTGGTATGCTTCATGCTGTCCATCTTGAAATGAACATCATTCAAACAGGTTCATGTCAGGTTCGCCATTCATTCTTTTGTTAGGATATTCATCTAAACTTTTACGAATTATTGTTTGGGGGGGTGCCAATCTGGTAACTATATTCTACATTTCTATTATGTAAACCTTCAAGGACTGCTCCACATGTTGTCGACCCTCACAGAAGTATTATCTGGGTAAGTACTTCATATTTCAAGAGCGTCAGTTCTACTTTTTAGCTAGTAAGAGGATTTGCATGTTGTTTTATTAGCAAGAAGCCTACAGGGCTGGAACTAAAACAACCGATATCATTATGAGCAATGCCAGCCATAGGGTAAGGCAATTCACTTGCAGACAACGCTATGCAAATGTCGTTGTAACCGACTTGTTCTACTTTTTTTATCGTTTTAAAGTCAAGGCGCCGAGCGGGGTGACTGTAAACGAACGCCCACAAAATTATCCTGGATAAATTTGTACTGAAGGCTGCATTTGGTAGAGGTGTAAAATCGAACTGGGGTAAACTTTACACCCTGGTTCGATTTTGCAGGCATTTGGTAAACATGTAATTTTACATCGAAAATCAGTGTAAAATTATATTTTACAGTTGAATTACATCGATAATCGATGTAATAACATCTCTCTCCTCCTTCTCTTCTTCTTTCTTCCTCCCATCCAGTCAAGCACTCTCAGCTCGGCATTATCCACGTTGGCAGGTGTAACCCTGTAGCCCACATGTACCCAACCAGAACAGCAGTGCGAACAAGTTCAAAGCTGCCGAAGTGATGGCAACGCCGGCTACCCCTAATTGGAGGTGATACACCAAGAGGAAGCCTGGGTACGAGGAAGATCACCCTGGCCAATGACACTAAGGTGAGTGGGTGGGTTAATCCCTGCGCTCGGAGATAAATGCGGACTGAATGCAGGAAGGAATTGGTGAGGAGGTCCGGAAGAGAATAGAAGATAGCTCTGAGCGAGAATTGTGATTTCAAGATCCTGGTGTAAACAAAGAAGCAACTTGGACATGCTGAGCCAGAGAAGAGAGATGGGAATTGAGGAGAAGAGTAGAAAAATTACAGAGCGATGAAGGGTAAGGGCCAGAAACTTGGGATGCTGAGCTCCAAATGCTTGCACACATAGAGGTTCCATGCCCAGTGCTAGACCGGAAAGGACAGAGTGACCGGTGATATTGGCGAAGGCTATGGCAAGGGAGCCAGCAGCAAGTTGTATATCACCGAGGTGGCCCAGGAAGAGCATGGAGAGGATAGAGCGTGAGTTGAGGAGGACAGGATGAGACTTGTTCAGTGTAGAGACGATGTCTCTATGGACGCTTGCCAGATATACTTGTATGCCGATGGTTTTATACCGTTTTGCCAAACGCACAAGAGTACAAAACATGCATTCGGCCGGTTTGTTTTTTACTCTGATACATTTGAGCGTTTTTTATTTTCACTGATAGAATTTTGTATTTACACCACTTCCAAACACAGCCGAAAGTAATCACAATTATACCGCAACAAGAACCATTTCAACCATTCATTTAAGAGTCTGACGAACGGATGGAAATTGGAAAACATGATATGGCTTATATGGGCAACCTGCTATTTAGATGGATATGCCCGTAAGTTGATCGGATTGGTTGAAATTTAGAGTTTGTACAGTCCACGACCACGGTCTGAAGCAACCAGATCACTTGACCAGATATGGCGCTGCATGCGGCGTCATCCCATTCCCAAGTTTCTAATCCAACCTCGTTCGTTCTTTAAATTTTATGGCCAAGAAATTACCTCGCCCGGGGGATTCCCTACTACGGGCCGTTTGAGGGGATCTGAATTCATCCTATTATAGAACAAAGAAGTTTATTGTATTACCATTGCAATCCAGATCACCTGTTCATGAGAACTCTGTTTATGTCTATTCACAATACACTACCCCCTATAAATTGGAAACATCTCCCCCTGTATAATACTATGCAGAGGATGGAATATTCTGTGAACAGAGTTCTCATGGGCAGAAGATCGACTCAATGCGTTGACCACTTCACCGGATCACAGTGTACAAAGTGTAAATGCTTCATTTACATTAGTGCATAAGTATGGGAGTGTAAAATTACACTGTCGGTCCCAAGTTCAGAATTTCAGATAAAAGAGGGTTGTATCGGATTGACAGCTCACAAAATTTATGCCAAGCACATGGTTATGGATCCTAAATTATCTTTTCCATTATCTGACATAAAACATAACAGAATAGTGAAACAAGATTTATATAGCCTACCACCTACCCCAAGCTAAGCTTAGGTGACGATGAAAAATATGGGTGGTGCAAATAAATTGAATGCAAATTCGGATTTTTTTTTTTTGAAATTTACTTAGTTTTATTTGAAGAAAAAGTGTACGGGGAGTTCACACTCTTCTGATTTGCACTCCCATGCATTTGTGTGAATTGACTACTGCTTATTCACCAAAAAAAAATTGACTACTGCTTCACCTGGATATCCAGCTAAACCCTGGAGACTTTTTAATTCCTCTTTCTCTCATCAATTTCCTCATCCTTGCTGCATCATCCCATCTATTCACCGATGCATAAATATTGGCCATGAGCACGTAATTTCCAGTATTCTCAGGTTCAAGTTCAAACAGATGCGCTGCCGCAATCTCACCCAGTTCGACATTGCCATGAACTCTACAAGCTCCCAATAGAGCACCCCAAGTTCCGGCATCTGGTGTAGCCCCATTGTCCAAGATAAGCCTGTACGCCTGTTCGAGCCGCCCAGCTCGTCCCAGAATGTCAACCATGCAAGCGTAGTGCTCCGTCAATGGGACGATATTACACGTCCTAGTCATCAAATCGAAGTACTTGCACCCTTCCTTCACTAGTCCTGCATGGCTGCAAGCATTCAACACACCGACGAACGTCACCTGGTTGGGTTTTAGTCCTTCTTTCTGCATCCTCGAGAAGAGTTCTAGAGCTTCGTGGGCCATTCCGTGATCAGCGAGGGCAGCGATCGATGCACTGTAAGAGATAACGTCTCTCTTCACCATTCTGTTGAATTCTTTCCAAGCTCGATCGATGTTCCCACATTTTGCATGCATGTGGATTAACGCATTGGATACAACCAGCGTCCTATCTGAGATGATTTTGGCACCATAAAAATGTCAGCAATTCTGAATGATGAACAAGGAAAAAGAATAAAAAATGCAAATTGAACATTTTCACCTGTTGCATCATTTTATTTGGAAAATTACGTCGAGTAAGCCTGGAGATGGTATATAAGACAGGATGGTCATGAATCATGAATTCATGATCATCCAACTGGATTAACTCAATTTTGGCCCATGGATATTCAACTCCTCGTTACACGTTAGTGGGTTCGAACTTCAAAGCCTGGACAGTCGCCTTGCATGAAGTACCTTACCGGCTCACTCTCCGATCTCCCTTAGCCCAAAAGAAAAATAATGGTACAAATAATAACAGAACTTACCACAGACGCCTTCTTCCATGTGATCGGCCACTGTATTTGCCGTATCTGGATCACCAAGTTGTGTGCAAGCAGATATTACTCCAACCATGGCAACCTCGCTCACCTTTACATTTGCTTCTCTCATCTTCTTATACATCTCAATTGCTTCAGTAGAATACCCATTTTGTGCGTAACACGCAATCATCGCAGCCCAACACGCCGAATCGCGTACCGGTATCTCATCAAATACTTGCTTGGCTTCAGTCACGTCCCCGTGTTTTCCATAACCAGCAATCATGGCTGTCCATGTCACGGAGTTCCTTTCTGGCATTTGATCAAACAGTTCTTTCGCAGCTTCGACATTGCCTGCATTTGCATACCCTGCCACCATGGCTGTCCAAGAAACGACGTTGCGTTCCAACATGACATCGAATAGATGACGCGCATCGTCCATCCTATCGGTCTTGGAGTACCCGGCAATCATGGCCGTCCAAGCGACGACATCTCTATCGGCCATTTGATCGAAAACACGTCTTGCATCTTCTGCAGCCCCGCATTTTGCATACATATCGAGAAGAGCAGTCTGCACAATTTTATTACCGAAATGGCCGGACTCGACAATTCGAGTGTGTGCCTGTTTGCCTTCTTGGATTGCCTGAATGCGTGCGCAAGCACTGAGCACCGAGGAGAAGGTGAATACAGTGGGCGGGATGTCCATCCGGTGCATCCTAGCGTAGAGGGAGACGGATTGGTTAAATTGAGCATGGAGGGCATGAGAACGGATGATGGACGTCCAAAGGAACTGGTTTTCACAGTGGGGGATTCGATCGAATAATTGAGAGGCGTATCGGAGATTATTGCCGGGAAACTGGAGGACCCGCGTGGTGAGATGAATCAGGAGTCGATGATGTTGATGGGATTGGGTTCTGAGTAAGTAAGCGTGAGCCTGCTTGAGTTGTTTGAGAGTTTTACTGACTTGAATGCAGAACCCAATAACGGCTTCGCTATTGAAAGGGTGGCGCGTTGAGGCAGAGAGAAAGGAGTGGGTGGTCATAAAGTTTGATAATTTCAGAACGAATGGAGTCAGGAACAAGAATAAGTGGAACCCACAGGCTTCTATCAGATGGTTATAATAATCGGATCAGGTTAAGGTGTTGACCATCCAGCAAGAATACGCAGTCCTCGAGAAGACGCAGCAATGCAGCTCTGGCTAGGTTTTTATTCGTAAATTAGGTCCATTATTCAAACAAAACCATGGTTCATTCTGAGAGAGAGAGAGTTTTCAACTTTCATACTTCACTCTCATGGCTGTCTATGAAAACGTACGGGGCCTTGTCCTTAGTAATATTTTTAGATTTTAATAATTAATAATTTGGGAGTCTATTCATTACTCATTAAACGGCTCCATAAGAGCCAAACCCATGACGATAAAACGATTATATAATTATTTGAAGGTTTTTATTATTACATTGATCTTAATTAAACACCTCTGTGAATCTGTGATCTCCGTTTCCGTTAATTTATTTTCTGGCCTTGGAATATGGAAGCTGCTCTAAGCCCTTCCATGGCCGCTCCTTCCCCTCCCATACCTTATCAGAAAACCAATTTATCTCCTTTCTACTACAGCGTGGTGGCCATTGGATCGGCTGCCATCGTGCTAGTAGCATACAACCTATTCATTGTTGGATGTTGTTCACAACTCCGTTTCTGGAGATGGCATGATCAGAACCCATCACCAGAAGACACAAGCCTGAGTCTGAGAAACCCCCACCGCTACACTTCTGGCTTAATTTCCAGTTTCAAGTACCGAAAAGGCGACGAAGCAGCTGGGGATATCGAATGCTCAGTGTGCTTGTCAGTTTTCGAAGATGGCGAAGATGTTCGGCAGTTGCCACTCTGTAAGCATTTGTTCCATGCTCCATGCATAGACATGTGGCTATACTCTCACTCCAATTGCCCACTTTGTCGTGCCGCACTCTAACTGTCCCGCTATTGATCAGTATTGACAGAGGACAGAGCAGGAGCCAGGAGGACTTCTTTCCGACAGGGTTTAATTGCCGAACTCCGGCAGCACAGTTTTACCGTCGAGTTGTCTTTTCTCTTGTCCATCTTGTTATATACGGTGCTTCTGGGTCCGTAACGGAGTAGTGAAGAATTTATACGGCAGTGTCCAGATAAAATCTATTTTCTTTTCTCTGTGCGTCTGTGTGTATAATTTTGTATGATCGAATATCCAAAAACGAAAAGGTTGGTGATTTTGTTTGCAGTCTGTGGCTGTTTCTTACCTTTGTTTGCAGTCTGTGATAAGAGACAAGTCGCCAATTCTCAAGTTTTACTTACCAGTTGATCGGATCACATTTAGGGCATGTTTGTTTCGCAGTAACAGGGGGCTTAGAGTCTGTCATTTCAATTCCAATTATTTGGTCGGGCAGAATTGGAAATTCAGATTAGCTGAATGGGATGGCTGCTCTGTTCAGCTGGCCATGGAATCAATGATAATATTCCACGCCAGTAATCAATTAAAGTGTTGGTTTCATGTATTTTATTATTGACATGAAACATTATCATTGGTTCCACAGCCCTGCCCGCTGAACAGTCATCGTGTTCAGTTAATCCTTGCTCTTGAATTGGAATCACATTCTCATTTATGGTGGAATGTCATTCCTCCATTTGTTACAATGGTCATTCTATCCTCCTTGAGAATGACATTTCATTCAAATCAATTTCTATTCTTGATGAAGGAAGATTTGGCCCGACCTCGCAATCACTCCACGTGGCAAAAACAAATAGCTCGGCACTTAAAACAGCGTACCTAGGGCGCAAGCACCAAAGGGAAGAAACCAGCAATCTGAACTCCCTTCGAGGAGCCTGAACTCCTTACGAGGAGCCCGACCTCCCTACGAGGAGCCCGAACTCTCCCTTGGGCCCCAAGCCACACAAGGCAGTGACCCGAACTGGCCCGTCTCATGGCAGTTCGGGACACTCCCCTATCCGAACTCAAGACTTCACCTCGTTCGCCACTCCAGCACTTTGCCTCCGAGACACCGAACTGAACAAACGTACCATACCTGACACCGAGGAGGTTCGTATCCAAGGGGCGACATCTGATTGACTTGGGATCTGACGCTTGACAGTCGCACTTCAACGGTCACCTACCACCGCCACCTGCCACCGTCATCGCCAGTCGCAGAGACGGCTCCAACAAAAGGGAGCAGTGGCGGTTCTGACCAGAAGCGGGGATGACACCCGAACTGGCAAGAGACCAGAGGTAACCGTACCCAACTTGACAGAAGCTTAGGAGTGAGTGCACGAGGTGGCTATAAAAGGCCCCCTAGCCCCAAGAACAAGGTATGCAAACTTTGCGCTATCTGGTTTTATCTTGCCTTTGAAGGATTCTAACTTGAGCTTTGGAGCCTCCACACCGGGTTCCCCCCGGAGCTTCCTCATCTTCTCCGTTTCAGGTTACCCGCAATTCCGTTCAGAGGCAAGGTCGTTGACAGCTAAGATTGGCCGGATTGCGCACCATCAATTGGCGTCGTCTGTGGCAATCGGTGGGTCGGTGTCTAGGCCAGGTTGTCAGGTAGGAGATCTTCCTGCGATACGCCAAACTACTCCTGTACCGAGCTGCCCGGGGGAGCTATGCCGAGCTGCTTGTGGCGAGCTCTGCCGAGCTGCCTGGCTCCTTGGTGGTGAGCTCCTTGGAGAGCAGCCTAGCTCCTTGGTGAGCTACCGAGCTCGCGGGGTACACCGCTATGGTTCATCGGTGGGCGTCTTATGGGCGGCTAGGTCGGCCAGGTCAGATCATGTGCCAGGCCGATCCAGGTCGCGTGCAGGCCGCGCCAGGCCGGCCAGACCGGTGCCCGGGTGGGATACCAACTTGGTAAGTTGTTGTCTGGGTGTTTTCCTAGTTGTCACGAGGTGCCACGTGTCGCAATTTCACTAGAGGGCCAAATCTACCCGCATCAATTGCCCCCCACTCCCGAGCTGAGAGTAACTCAGCGAAGGAAGTAGATTTCTTTTGGCCCGTAAGTCGACGAGCTAGTAAGTGCTGATCCAATTCCTTAGACTTCGGGAGCTACCTGTATGTGGCAAGCTGCCAGTGAGGCGAGGGGTTCTCCGCCAGTTCAGTAGTGTAGCCCTTGGGCTCTGGGGCAACTTATAGTTCACTTTTGCTAATTTTGCTCCAACTGAGGAAGCGACTGGGTATTTAGCAATAGTGTGGCCCGTAGGCTTTGGGAGTGACTCGTAGTCTACTCTTCTTTGACTTTTGCCCGTGCCGGAGAGGCGACCAGGTCTTTAAGCAGTAATGTGGCCCGTAGGCTTTGGGAGTGACTCGTAGTCTACTCTTCTTTGACTTTTGCCCGTGTCGGAGAGGCGACCGGGTCTTTAAGCAGTAATGTGGCCCGTAGGCTTTGCCTGTGAGGTGTCGAGCTATGATNGTGCTGCATCAGCTTCGTAATGCCGATCACCCACTCCTACAAGAAGCTACTAGGAGCTCGACCTTCGGGGGCAGCACTACTAACTTTAGGTCGCTAGCTTTCACGGGAGCCTTGGAAGGCTCGACCGGTAAGGGTGCCTATGTACTCTGTTGGTCGCCAACTCCCGCGGAAGCCACGAAGAGCTCATCTTTTGTAGGGGGGACCTTGCGGAGAGGACTGATGAGGCATTATCTGAATTGGAGGTAAGGTTGGTAGAGCTACTTAGTCTGTTAGCTCCCTGCATAGTCTTTGAGTTCATAAAAAATGTAAACTATAAGGCGATAGCTTCAATTTCTAAAAAGTGAGGACTTAGCTTTGGTAAGATGAAAACTTAGCTTTTGTAGGATGAGAACTTAGCTTTTTGTAGTGTGTTCCCACAGACGGCGCCAATTGATGTAACCGTTTCTAGTCACGTACCATTTTTTGTGATGTATAAACTTTTTTGGCTAAGTACCTCGTTATTTGACCCGGTGGTGACGTGCCTTGGTGATGAGCTACTTGGTGGCGAACTCCCAGGTGGAGAACTGCCTGGTGGCGAGCTCCCTGGTGGCGAACTGCTTGGTGGTGAGCTCCCTGGTGGCGAATTGCCTAGTGGCGAGCTCCCTGGTGGTGAACTGCCTGGTGGCAAGCTGCCTGGTGGCAAGCTGCCTGGTGGCGAGCTGCCTGGTGGCGAGCTGCCTGGTGGCAAGCTGCCTGGTGGCGAACTGCCTGGTGGCGAGCTCCCTGGTGGCGAACTGCCTGGTGGTGAACTCCCTGGTGGAGAGCTCCCTGGTGACGAACTGCCTGGTGGCGAGCTCCCTGGTGGCGAACTGCCTGGTGGCGAGCTGCCTGGTGGCGAATTGCCTGGTGGCGAGCTGCCTGGTGGCGAACTGCCTGGTGGCAAACTGCCTAGTGGCGAGCTCCCTGGTGGACTCATCATTTGACCTGCTCCTAGGCGGTCTACAACTCAGAGAATGGTGGAGCTCCCTGGTTCAGCGCAACCCGACTACCCTCTGCATGAGGTGATTTCCTCTCCTTTGTAGGCGGCGGGAGCGGAGGGACCTGCGAGAACTGAATCAGGGGACCCAGGGGTATTTTCTCGGCGGGGACTCTCCGATGCCTAAGTTAGCATTCTGATTACAGAGAGCTTGGAG